GAGCTTACAACACCCGAGAATCTCGCTTCAAATCAAGAGGAAACTAAGAAAGACCTGGCTGGATGGGGTTAAAAAGGGAAGACATCATGCTTTATTCAAAATCCGTTATGTATAGATGCACAGACTTAGCAATCATTTAAGGGCATTTTATATGACTTTGGGGGTCTTGTACGTTATTCAGGTAGTCAGATGTACTTTAGTTCTGCGCTCCGGGCAAATTTTTACACCTTAGGGTGTCACGACCCCCTATAAAGCGTTATTTTAGTGCAGGCGTAATTTTCTTATCTATAAAGCTACAGAGTTAATATTTTCACAAAGTAAACTCAGTATAGGTAGTTGCCACCTAATACAGGATTTTAAAAAATATCATTTATAATAAGCGAGATATCCCGGATTTTAACATATGACTAGCCAAAACATCGACATTTTCTTTAAAATCACTCCCTCTGAGGCATTTAGAACGTAGTAATATGAAAAATGTTCAACGAATTTTAAAAAAGCCTTTATCAGATTGCAACTACTCCAATTGCCCACACTGAGGCCAATTTTCAAAGGAATCCTTTAAACAGCCTCCGAAATCTCGCTGCACTAAGACACCATACCCCAAAAACTATCGAGTTTTAGAGAAAACGCAAAAAGACGCAACAAATAATAATACGTTCGCATTGTTATTACTTGTTTTTACAACCGCAGACAGATCAATGCAATGTTCTCCATTTTCAGTATATACCACTGCACTATACCGATCACCCAGTTTGGAATAGAACTATGTAAACTGAAAGAAGAATACAGTTTGGAATGATGATATAATACCATTTATTTCAAGAGAATAACACAAGGGAGGAGGAAAAAAGTTACCTCAAAGTTTGAAACAGTGCAATCATAGTCATACTTTATTCAGAATGATAAAGCGATATGAGAAACACTTCTAAACACTGAAGACCATTTCTCAACAGGTTGAATTTTCAGGATAAAATTTGTGTAGGTTGTGAGGTGCATTTTTTTCTTCCTAAAATATAATTATTTCATCTTGAACTTCCTCCCAAAAGTAACCGGCTTTGACTCTAGGCAGCGGCATCACTGCAATCACTTGTGCATAATTAGTATTGATTAGCAAAGCATTTTGCATTAAAAGCTGAAGACGCGAGTTCGATTCCGTATCAGAAAGATGATTTCATCGAGTATCACCGTACTTGCTGAAGCTTTTGGGACGAAGGAGCATCCTAAAGTCTCGACAGCGGGGATAAAAGTAGGATGTCGTGCAGGAGTGGGACTGTAAGACAAGCATGGTTAATCATATTTTTGGTAATAGCTAGCTTTTTCTAAATGGTCTATTCGTATGTTGCATTTTGGATGTTTACTCTTTGTTGACTCGGTGAGGAACACATATCTTATGAAATAAAAACAGTACCTTTTGCTAGACAACAATAGTGCAAGTAACGAAGAGCATTAAAAAACATATAATTACTAAAATGGAGAGGATTAAGGATTGTGAACAAGAAAAAGAGAAACAGTGAACCTCGCATTCAATGCAGCGAATGTGCCGAGTCCAACGTCCAAGATGTTCGCCCCCAAAGCAATTCAGATGCCTGTGCCAAGCTACCATGGCAAATGCTGGCTTATCTTGGGGTCCTTTTGACTTCTTTTAATCAAAAGCTCTTAAAATTTTATGGAGAAATACTTTCTGAACTTTTGCCCCAAATTAACCACCACCTAAGTTTAGCATTCAACAACACGTAAACATGTCTACCGTGAGCAAAATTTGGTTCCAGAACTTGATCAGTAATAATAATTATATGGAGCACTTTGGTGTGAAGGGTGGCAAAGCGAAGCAAACGCCACAGGACAACTGACGTCAAGGACAGATGAAAGACTTCAGAAAAAGAAAGAGGCATTTAAAGAAACTGCTGAGAATAGCGCCGGCGGAGGAGAAGGAAGGCCTGCGGATACTGTGGAATGAACTAAAAACAAGCAATAGCGCACTCAGTAAGGCTGAACTCTCGTGGAAAAAACGGCTCTGTTGCAAGAGAGAGCAGGGTCGCTTCTTCAGAGAACCGTACCAGTATGCCAGGCACATCTTTGACCAACCAAGATCTGACTCAAGGTAGAAAAAAAGCAGCGTGTAGGAACACCTGAGGAGAACATACTCTGATGATCCGCGGAACGTTCCACTAGAAGATAACCCTAGCCTGGTTTGGCGGGTGGCTCAGGTGAGAAATTCAACAAGAGGTTGACTACACTTGACGAAGTAAAGCGAATTATCAACAAAGCAAGATGCAAATCTGCCCCTGGGCCCAATGGCATCCTATATTTACTGTACAAAAGATGTCCCAGGGTCCTTAAATGGCTACACGGGCAGCTGAGACTGGCATTGAAGAAAGGCCACATTAGCAAGGAATGGATGAAAGCTGATGCCGTATACATCCCCAAAGAAAAGGACTCTGAGGGGATCAGCCAATTCCGTCCTATCTCACTGCTGAATGTTGAGGCCAAAATTTTCTTCTCGGTGATGACATCCAGACTCTCGTCCTACCTATTGGCAAATGGGTACGTAGACACCACTGTGCAGAAAGGTGGAGTACCCGGTATAGCTGGCTGCCTAGAACACGGAAAGGAAGGCAAACATAACCTGGATGTCATCTGGCTTGACTTGGCAATGTCATCTGGCTTGACTTGGCAAATGCGTATGGTTCGGTTCCCCATCAAATGATTCAGATGGCCCTCCGCATGTGCCACGTTCCGAAAGAGATATGTCTCATGCTCCATGCCTACTTCGTAGGGTTCCAGATGCGAATTAGAACTGATGAATATAAAAACAGACTGGGTTAACTTCGAGGTGGTTATAGCAATGGGATGCACGGTTTCGCCAGTTCTCTTTGTCCTGGCGATGCATGTGCTTCTCAAGGTGGCAGAAAGCAAAGCAATTACAGCGAAACTTGGAGCAGGTTATCAAATGCCACCTCCGAAGGCGTTCATGGATGACACGTCAATCCTTACCTCACAAGAAGAAGAAACTCACAGAATACTTCGTTATCTGGATGATTTGATGAAATGGTGTCAAATGAACTTCAAGCCAAATAAATCTAGAAGCCTCTCGCTTTGAAAAGGTAAAGTGAGCAAGCACACCCAATTCCATGTAGGTGGCCAACGGATCCCCAACGTTTCTGAAAAAGCCATGAAGAGCCTGGGGAAGTGGTATGACGAGACCCTGAGAGACACAAGAAAATCGAAAGAGAAAGCACTCAGCACTGAAAGCGGGTTGAAGAAGATTGGCCGTTGCCCCCTACCTGGAAGGCATCAGGTCTGGTGTCTCCAGCACATGCTGATCCCAATGTTGCTGTGGCCGCTCTTAGTGTACGAAATTGCCACAAGCAATGGAGGCAAAGATGGACAAATTCACCAGGAAGTGGCTTGGTGTTCCTCCTGGGCTTTCAGATGTTGCCCTGTACTGCCGGCATGCCAAACTGAGACTACCACTTAAGTTATTTATGGAGGAATAGAAAGCTGGCAAGACAAGGCTGCAGATGATGCTTGAGAATTCCCAGGACGAGGTGGTCAGGTCAATTCAACCAACACGGAGAACTGACAGAAAGTGGAAAGTCTTGGATGCCGTGGTGGATGCCAACGATAACCTAAGGCTCAAAGAAGTTATTGTCCATACCCAAGTTGGAAGACAAGGGCTTGGAAGCGAGAAGAGGCTGGGATGGTCTAGGGCACACGGTAAAGAATGCAGAGACATGTTGATCCAGGAAGTGAGGGATACGGAGGACAAGAAGAGATACCATTGCAGCAGGGCCAATGGACAAACTGGACCAATGCCCTGCAAAGAAACCTTACATGGAACGACGTGTGGCACATGGCACCTCTGAGACTTAGCTTCATCATCAGAGCTAAATATGACTAGCTGAAATCAAATGCTAATCTCGTGAAGTGGTCAAGGAAGAAAATCCACGCTGTCCATTGTGCCAGGAGAGACAGACAATGGAGCGTGTCCTCAGTCCCTGTAAGATATCCCTTGCTGACAGCAGATACACGTGGCGGCTCAACAGAATGCTGAAGGAGCTGGTCCTCGCAATAACCTGCAGCCTTTAGTGCGACGCCGACAACACAGTAGCTCCTGCCCATTTTTCACAGCAGGAAAGAAGAAGAAGTGGGTTGGAAAAAAGCAAGTGTCTTATCTCTCAACGAGTGGAAACATAACATAATATTATCTATTACAGACGCTACACACCCAGCACAAGACCGAAAGCTCCCCTCGACATCCTAAGGATACCAGAGAAAGGAAAAAGAAAAAAGTACAGTAAACACCCTTAAACCCTTTTACGTGTCTATTTTCAGAGCCAATTGGACAACGAACTCCGTAAGCAAGGTATCACATGTGACTTCACTATCGAAGATGTGGCAGATGAATTAGGTAAAGTATCCTGTGGGTGTGTATGTGTGTGTTTCTCTGTGTGTGTGTGTGTGTGTGTGTGTGTGTGTGTTTGTGTGTGTGGGGGGGGGGGGAGGGGGGATGGGGGTGTACGTGTGTGTCTGTGTCAATGCGTGTGTGTCTGTGTGTATGTTTATGTGTTTGTGTGTGTCTGTGTGTGCCTGTTTTTCTGTGTATTTGTTTATCAGTGTATATCTGTGTATGTGTGTGTCCGTGAGTGTGAATGTGGCTGTGTGTGTGCGACTGTGCGTGTGTATGTGTGTGTGTGTGTGTGTGTGTGTGTGTGTGTGTGTGTGTGTGTGTGTGTGTATGTGTACCTGTGTGTAAATATGTAAATCTGTTTGTCTGTCTGTCTGTCTGTCTGTCTGTCTGTCTGTCTGTCTGTCTGTCTATCTGTCTGTGTATCTGATTGTGTCTGTGTTTTTATGTGTCTCTGTGTATGTGTCTGCGCGTGATTGCTTTGCGCCCGTGTGTGTTTGTCTTTGTGTATTTATGTGTGGTGTGTGTGCTTGCGTGTGTGTGGGTAAGTGTATGTGTGATTGTGTGTTTGTGTGAGTGCGTGTGTGTGAGTGCGTGTGTGCATATAAGTGTGTTTGTGTTTATGTGTGTTCTGGTACTAGTCAAACTCTTCTGTGTTAAATCTCAAATCTAATTTTCTTTTCTACTTCTCAGCTCGCGTCAGCGTAACCGGTAAGTCGCTTTGTGTGTACATTAATCATTACAATATACGTATTATACATTGTGGCGTCGGTGGCCTAGTGGTTAGGCTACCGGACTCGTAATCGTGAGGTTGTGGGTTCGGGGGTTGGAGCCGCGGGCCCGACGTTGTGTCCTTGGGAAAGGCACTTTACACGAAGATTCCTCACTTCACCCAGGTGGGAATGGGTACCCAGCTATAGACAGTGAAAGATCTTATCAGTTTGTTAGTGTTTGAGCGCTTTACCAGCAGCTTGCACTCCATGCTTCCCGGGAAGCTGATAATGTTTCTGAGTATTCTTTGGTCTGCTGGGGTAATAATATAGTGTAAAGCGCATAGAGCTTGCTTTCGAGTGGGGACATGCACTATACAAATGCTATTTATTATTATTATTATTATTATTATATATATATATATATCATTTTAAAAAACTATAAGGTTTTCCGAGGTCTGTCAAAGCTACAGTGTTACCATAACACAGAAAGTATGGGAAATTACACAAGTTGTCCATAATAGCACAAAGTAGTGCCTTTTAATACTTTGGTAGTCAAACAATTAATATGTTTCAAAAAAATGTTTTTTCATCGTACCGACCGTAAACAGTGGAGGAAAAGGTACAAATGGAACAGCCGCGAGCCCAATGTCTCGCAAAGTCTCGAAGTCGTTCGCAGGATAGACAAAACATGCGTGTGTACAGTCAAAAAACACAATAGTGTAATTATTTTTAATAAACTTAAACAAACGGTATCAATACTAAATATTATAAACATTTGTGTGTTTTAACGTTTAGAGAGAAAAAGAATAGGTCTAGCGTGTATGCATATAAGTGTGTTTGTGTTTGTGTGGGTTCTGGTACTAGTCAAACTCTTCAGTGTTAAATCTCAAATCTAATTTTCTTTTCTACTTCTCAGATCGCGACAGCGTAACCGGTAAGTCGCTTTGTGTGTTCATTAATCATTACAATATACGTATTATACATTGTGGCGTCGATGGCCTAGTGGTTAGGCTACCGGACTCGTAATCGTGAGGTTGTGGGTTCGAGGGTTGGAGCCGCGGGCCCGACGTTGTGTCCTTGGGAAAGGCACTTTACATGAAGATTCCTCACTTCACCCAGGCGGGAATGGGTACCCAGCTATAGACAGTGAAAGATCTTATCAGTTTGTTAGTGTTTGAGCGCTTTACCAGCAGCTTGCACTCCATGCTTCCCGGGAAGCTGATAATGTTTCTGAGTATTCTTTGGTCTGCTGGGGTAATAATATAGTGTAAAGCGCATACAGCTTGCTTTCGAGTGGGGACATGCATTATACAAATGCTATTTATTATTATTATTATTATTATTATATATATATATATATCATTTTAAGAAACTATAAGGTTTTCCGAGGTCTGTCAAAGCTAGTGTTACCATAACACAGAAAGTATGGGAAATTACACAGGTTGTCCATAATAGCACAAAGTAGTGCCTTTTAATACTTTGGTAGTCAAACAATTAATATGTTTCAAAAAAATGTTTTTTCATCGTACCGACCGTAAACAGTGGAGGAAAAGGTACAAATGGAACAGCCGCGAGCCCAATGTCTCGCAAAGTCTCGAAGTCGTTCGCAGGATAGACAAAACATGCGTGGGTACAGTCAAAAAACACAATAGTGTAATTATTTTTAATAAACTTAAACAAACGGTATCAATACTAAATATTATAAACATTTGTGTGTTTTAACGTTTAGAGAGAAAAAGAATAGGTCTAGCGTGTGTGCATATAAGTGTGTTTATGTTTGTGTGTGTTCTGGTACTAGTCAAACTCTTCAGTGTTAAATCTCAAATCTAATTTTCTTTTCTACTTCTCAGATCGCGACAGCGTAACCGGTAAGTCGCTTTGTGTGTACATTAATCATTACAATATACGTATTATACATTGTGGCGTCGGTGGCCTAGTGGTTAGGCTACCGGACTCGTAATCGTGAGGTTGTGGGTTCGAGGGTTGGAGCCGCGGGCCCGACGTTGTGTCCTTGGGAAAGGCACTTTACATGAAGATTCCTCACTTCACCCAGGCGGGAATGGGTACCCAGCTATAGACAGTGAAAGATCTTATCAGTTTGTTAGTGTTTGAGCGCTTTACCAGCAGCTTGCACTCCATGCTTCCCGGGAAGCTGATAATGTTTCTGAGTATTCTTTGGTCTGCTGGGGTAATAATATAGTGTAAAGCGCATACAGCTTGCTTTCGAGTGGGGACATGCACTATACAAATGCTATTTATTATTATTATTATTATTATTATATATATATATATATCATTTTAAAAAACTATAATCATTTTAAAAAACTATAAGGTTTTCCGAGGTCTGTCAGAAAGTATGGGAAATTACACAGGTTGTCCATAATAGCACAAAGTAGTGCCTTTTAATACTTTGGTAGTCAAACAATTAATATGTTTCAAAAAAATGTTTTTTCATCGTACCGACCGTAAACAGTGGAGGAAAAGGTACAAATGGAACAGCCGCGAGCCCAATGTCTCGCAAAGTCTCGAAGTCGTTCGCAGGATAGACAAAACATGCGTGTGTACAGTCAAAAATCACAATAGTGTAATTATTTTTAATAAACTTAAACAAACGGTACCAATACTAAATATTATAAACATTTGTGTGTTTTAACGTTTAGAGAGAAAAAGAATAGGTCTAGCGTGTGTGCATATAAGTGTGTTTATGTTTGTGTGTGTTCTGGTACTAGTCAAACTCTTCAGTGTTAAATCTCAAATCTAATTTTCTTTTCTACTTCTCAGATCGCGACAGCGTAACCGGTAAGTCGCTTTGTGTGTACATTAATCATTACAATATACGTATTATACATTGTGGCGTCGGTGGCCTAGTGGTTAGGCTACCGGACTCGTAATCGTGAGGTTGTGGGTTCGGGGGTTGGAGCCGCGGGCCCGACGTTGTGTCCTTGGGAAAGGCACTTTACACGAAGATTCCTCACTTCACCCAGGTGGGAATGGGTACCCAGCTATAGACATGGAAAGATCTTATCAGTTTGTTAGTGTTTGAGCACTTTACCAGCAGCTTGCACTCCATGCTTCCCGGGAAGCTGATAATGTTTCTGAGTATTCTATGGTCTGCTGGGGTAATAATATAGTGTAAAGCGCATACAGCTTGCTTTCGAGTGGGGACATGCACTATACAAATGCTATTTATTATTATTATTATTATTATTATATATATATATATATCATTTTAAAAAACTATAAGGTTTTCCGAGGTCTGTCAAAGCTACAGTGTTACCATAACACAGAAAGTATGGGAAATTACACAAGTTGTCCATAATAGCACAAAGTAGTGCCTTTTAATACTTTGGTAGTCAAACAATTAATATGTTTCAAAAAAATGTTTTTTCATCGTACCGACCGTAAACAGTGGAGGAAAAGGTACAAATGGAACAGCCGCGAGCCCAATGTCTCGCAAAGTCTCGAAGTCGTTCGCAGGATAGACAAAACATGCATGGGTACAGTCAAAAAACACAATAGTGTAATTATTTTTAATAAACTTAAACAAACGGTATCAATACTAAATATTATAAACATTTGTGTGTTTTAACGTTTAGAGAGAAAAAGAATAGGTCTAGCGTGTGTGCATATAAGTGTGTTTATGTTTGTGTGTGTTCTGGTACTAGTCAAACTCTTCAGTGTTAAATCTCAAATCTAATTTTCTTTTCTACTTCTCAGATCGCGACAGCGTAACCGGTAAGTCGCTTTGTGTGTACATTAATCATTACAATATACGTATTATACATTGTGGCGTCGGTGGCCTAGTGGTTAGGCTACCGGACTCGTAATCGTGAGGTTGTGGGTTCGGGGGTTGGAGCCGCGGGCCCGACGTTGTGTCCTTGGGAAAGGCACTTTACACGAAGATTCCTCACTTCACCCAGGTGGGAATGGGTACCCAGCTATAGACATGGAAAGATCTTATCAGTTTGTTAGTGTTTGAGCACTTTACCAGCAGCTTGCACTCCATGCTTCCCGGGAAGCTGATAATGTTTCTGAGTATTCTTTGGTCTGCTGGGGTAATAATATAGTGTAAAGCGCATAGAGCTTGCTTTCGAGTGGGGACATGCACTATACAAATGCTATTTATTATTATTATTATTATTATTATATATATATATATATCATTTTAAAAAACTATAAGGTTTTCCGAGGTCTGTCAAAGCTACAGTGTTACCATAACACAGAAAGTATGGGAAATTACACAGGTTGTCCATAATAGCACAAAGTAGTGCCTTTTAATACTTTGGTAGTCAAACAATTAATATGTTTCAAAAAAATGTTTTTTCATCGTACCGACCGTAAACAGTGGAGGAAAAGGTACAAATGGAACAGCCGCGAGCCCAATGTCTCGCAAAGTCTCGAAGTCGTTCGCAGGATAGACAAAACATGCGTGTGTACAGTCAAAAATCACAATAGTGTAATTATTTTTAATAAACTTAAACAAACGGTACCAATACTAAATATTTAAAACATTTGTGTGTTTTAACGTTTAGAGAGAAAAAGAATAGGTCTAGCGTGTGTGCATATAAGTGTGTTTATGTTTGTGTGTGTTCTGGTACTAGTCAAACTCTTCAGTGTTAAATCTCAAATCTAATTTTCTTTTCTACTTCTCAGATCGCGACAGCGTAACCGGTAAGTCGCTTTGTGTGTTCATTAATCATTACAATATACGTATTATACATTGTGGCGTCGGTGGCCTAGTGGTTAGGCTACCGGACTCGTAATCGTGAGGTTGTGGGTTCGGGGGTTGGAGCCGCGGGCCCGACGTTGTGTCCTTGGGAAAGGCACTTTACACGAAGATTCCTCACTTCACCCAGGTGGGAATGGGTACCCAGCTATAGACATGGAAAGATCTTATCAGTTTGTTAGTGTTTGAGCACTTTACCAGCAGCTTGCACTCCATGCTTCCCGGGAAGCTGATAATGTTTCTGAGTATTCTATGGTCTGCTGGGGTAATAATATAGTGTAAAGCGCATACAGCTTGCTTTCGAGTGGGGACATGCACTATACAAATGCTATTTATTATTATTATTATTATTATTATATATATATATATATATATATCATTTTAAAAAACTATAAGGTTTTCCGAGGTCTGTCAAAGCTACAGTGTTACCATAACACAGAAAGTATGGGAAATTACACAAGTTGTCCATAATAGCACAAAGTAGTGCCTTTTAATACTTTGGTAGTCAAACAATTAATATGTTTCAAAAAAATGTTTTTTCATCGTACCGACCGTAAACAGTGGAGGAAAAGGTACAAATGGAACAGCCGCGAGCCCAATGTCTCGCAAAGTCTCGAAGTCGTTCGCAGGATAGACAAAACATGCATGGGTACAGTCAAAAAACACAATAGTGTAATTATTTTTAATAAACTTAAACAAACGGTATCAATACTAAATATTATAAACATTTGTGTGTTTTAACGTTTAGAGAGAAAAAGAATAGGTCTAGCGTGTGTGCATATAAGTGTGTTTATGTTTGTGTGTGTTCTGGTACTAGTCAAACTCTTCAGTGTTAAATCTCAAATCTAATTTTCTTTTCTACTTCTCAGATCGCGACAGCGTAACCGGTAAGTCGCTTTGTGTGTACATTAATCATTACAATATACGTATTATACATTGTGGCGTCGGTGGCCTAGTGGTTAGACTACCGGACTCGTAATCGTGAGGTTGTGGGTTCGGGGGTTGGAGCCGCGGGCCCGACGTTGTGTCCTTGGGAAAGGCACTTTACACGAAGATTCCTCACTTCACCCAGGCGGGAATGGGTACCCAGCTATAGACAGTGAAAGATCTTATCAGTTTGTTAGTGTTTGAGCGCTTTACCAGCAGCTTGCACTCCATGCTTCCCGGGAAGCTGATAATGTTTCTGAGTATTCTATGGTCTGCTGGGGTAATAATATAATGTAAAGCGCATACAGCTTGCTTTCGAGTGGGGACATGCATTATACAAATGCTATTTATTATATATATATATATATATATATATATATATATATATCATTTTAAAAAACTATAAGGTTTTCCGAGGTCTGTCAAAGCTACAGTGTTACCATAACACAGAAAGTATGGGAAATTACACAAGTTGTCCATAATAGCACAAAGTAGTGCCTTTTAATACTTTGGTAGTCAAACAATTAATATGTTTCAAAAAAATGTTTTTTCATCGTACCGACCGTAAACAGTGGAGGAAAAGGTACAAATGGAACAGCCGCGAGCCCAATGTCTCGCAAAGTCTCGAAGTCGTTCGCAGGATAGACAAAACATGCATGGGTACAGTCAAAAAACACAATAGTGTAATTATTTTTTATAAACTTAAACAAACGGTATCAATACTAAATATTATAAACATTTGTGTGTTTTAACGTTTAGAGAGAAAAAGAATAGGTCTAGCGTGTGTGCATATAAGTGTGTTTATGTTTGTGTGTGTTCTGGTACTAGTCAAACTCTTCAGTGTTAAATCTCAAATCTAATTTTCTTTTCTACTTCTCAGATCGCGACAGCGTAACCGGTAAGTCGCTTTGTGTGTTCATTAATCATTACAATATACGTATTATACATTGTGGCGTCGGTGGCCTAGTGGTTAGGCTACCGGACTCGTAATCGTGAGGTTGTGGGTTCGGGGGTTGGAGCCGCGGGCCCGACGTTGTGTCCTTGGGAAAGGCACTTTACACGAAGATTCCTCACTTCACCCAGGTGGGAATGGGTACCCAGCTATAGACATGGAAAGATCTTATCAGTTTGTTAGTGTTTGAGCACTTTACCAGCAGCTTGCACTCCATGCTTCCCGTGAAGCTGATAATGTTTCTGAGTATTCTATGGTCTGCTGGGGTAATAATATAGTGTAAAGCGCATACAGCTTGCTTTCGAGTGGGGACATGCACTATACAAATGCTATTTATTATTATTATTATTATTATATATATATATATATATATCATTTTAAAAAACTATAAGGTTTTCCGAGGTCTGTCAAAGCTACAGTGTTACCATAACACAGAAAGTATGGGAAATTACACAAGTTGTCCATAATAGCACAAAGTAGTGCCTTTTAATACTTTGGTAGTCAAACAATTGATATGTTTCAAAAAAATGTTTTTTCATCGTACCGACAGTAAACAGTGGAGGAAAAGGTACAAATGGAACAGCCGCGAGCCCAATGTCTCGCAAAGTCTCGAAGTCGTTCGCAGGATAGACAAAACATGCATGGGTACAGTCAAAAAACACAATAGTGTAATTATTTTTAATAAACTTAAACAAACGGTATCAATACTAAATATTATAAACATTTGTGTGTTTTAACGTTTAGAGAGAAAAAGAATAGGTCTAGCGTGTGTGCATATAAGTGTGTTTGTGTTTGTGTGTGTTCTGGTACTAGTCAAACTCTTCTGTGTTAAATCTCAAACCTAATTTTCTTTTCTACTTCTCAGATCGCGGCAGCGGAACCGGTAAGTCGCTTTGTGTGTACATTAATCATTACAATATACGTATTATACATTGTGGCGTCGGTGGCCTAGTGGTTAGGCTACCGGACTCGTAATCGTGAGGTTGTGGGTTCGGGGGTTGGAGCCGCGGGCCCGACATTGTGTCCTTGGGAAAGGCACTTTACACGAAGATTCCTCACTTCACCCAAGTGGGAATGGGTACCCAGCTATAGACAGTGAAAGATCTTATCAGTTTGTTAGTGTTTGAGCGCTTTACCAGCAGCTTGCACTCCATGCTTCCCGGGAAGCTGATAATGTTTCTGAGTATTCTATGGTCTGCTGGGGTAATAATATAGTGTAAAGCGCATACAGCTTGCTTTCGAGTGGGGACATGCACTATACAAATGCTATTTATTATTATTATATATATATTTTAAAAAACTATAAGGTTTTCCGGGGTCTGTCAAAGCTACAGTGTTACCATAACACAGAAAGTATGGGAAATTACACAAGTTGTCCATAATAGCACAAAGTAGTGCCTTTTAATACTTTGGTAGTCAAACAATTAATATGTTTCAAAAAAATGTTTTTTCATCGTACCGACCGTAAACAGTGGAGGAAAAGGTACAAATGGAACAGCCGCGAGCCCAATGTCTCGCAAAGTCTCGAAGTCGTTCGCAGGATAGACAAAACATGCGTGTGTACAGTCAAAAAACACAATAGTGTAATTATTATTAATAAACTTAAACAAACGGTATCAATACTAAATATTATAAACATTTGTATGTTTTAACGTTTAGAGAGAAAAAGAATAGGTCTAGCTGCTGTGTTTTCACGTCTAAGGAGTAAAAAGGAACAGCGATTATTCCGATTTCTATTTTCGTTTTAAACCAAAACATGACCAGAGTTGAGCGAAGTTCAAACCAAAACGTGACTATAGTCAGGACAACACCAAATGGACAACTTTTAGACCTCATAACACAGAAACTAAGAGGAGAATTGTCCTGATTTCTTGCATGTGCCTCTGAATTCCCAAAAACCTAAACAATCTCAATTTTCGTGCACATTCGACAAATATAAAGAGGGGCTTTCTATACATATATAATCATTAGTATGTAATTATCGTCTGCGTAGGGGTTTTTATTAGATCAAGTACCGTTACGTAGTTAAGTGTTAGATGTTTTTGTTTGTTTCAATCTAATTTTCTCCTCTTTTTTTTTACCTGACTGCATGAGCAGCAAGACTGGGTTGTTTTCAGTTCAATGGATAATGGATGACAGTGGGTTATTTTGACTGACTCATAGTGATATACAATGAGTAACATGTCTTTCATATATATCTATCGTCATTGAGATTGCATGTGTTTCAATTTGCTGTTGCTTTTTCATTAAATACCATGGTTATATTACTTAGTATATTACTTAGTGGTTGATGGTGAGGTGAAATTTGACAAAGGAGAAGTGTTGAAGACCCTGGAGAAAAAGTTGCGGGATGAGAGATCCGCCACTTAGATTTGTTGTAATGAGGTCGAAAAGTTGTCCATTTGGTGTTGTCCGGACTATAGAGCCGAGCGAAGTGAGGGAAGATGCCATCTGGAAATTTTTGTCAGGTAAGCAAGATATAAGTCTATATTTAGATCTAAACAGATTAACTAATTTTAAACCAAAACATGACCAGAGCCGAGCAAAGTTTAAACCAAAATGTGACTAGATCTAGAGCCGAGCGAAGTGAGGGAAGATGCATCTTGAGATTGGGTCAGGTAGGCTAGATCTAAGTCTAGATCTAGATCTAGATCTAGACAGATTAAGAAAATGCCATCTTGAGATAGGGTCAGACGCCAATCTCGCCAGATCCAACGGCAAGCAGGTCTAGATCTACCGTTACAAGATAATATAGATCTAAATCTTGATCAAAGTCATAGGCATGATCAGGCTAATCGACAACAGCGTCCCCCAGCTCTAGATGAGAGCGCAGACAATCCACTTCCACCTCACCAACTTTCCAGAATAACATTAATTGTTGATTTTGCAATGCAAAAAGGTTTCAGGAAGAAACTAAGTCTAATTGCAACATTAATAGACAGGTGAATTTACCACCTGTACCCCCGCCTCCGACAATTCTGAAGGATCTTCTGACTCAAAACACCGCTGAGGCAAAACATTTTAGTAAAAACACAAGAGCTTTCAATTCAAGTCTGGCATTTGTAGTTATGTATACTGTCATCTACATGCTGCCTTCTCTTAATTCTGTTTCTATCGCTAACATTGTCTTGTCCCGTTCTATGAACGGGCTGATGTACTAGTATTATATATATATGTCAAAACACGCCTATGTCGAACAGATTTTTAAGGTTAGAATGTTTTCTTATACATGTGCATATTCTTTGTTTTTAAAACACATAAATGTCGAAATGCCTATTTTACTACGTGTATATTCGACTATAATATGCAAAACGAAAATTATGTACGAGTTATTGTGGTAAAGCATGACATACCCTGAAACTCAGGCAAGCAAAATCAACAAAACTTAAATGGCAAAAGTGTTTTATTGCAGAAAATCCGAGGAGCAACGAGCAACAACTTAAAAATCTACAAAAAGGAAGAAGAAGTTAACAAAATAAATAATACAATTAATAAATAAATTATACTTTCATTTGTCTCTGAAGGGCACTTCGGTTTACAGTTGCAAACATACATACATACATAAAAGCATAATTATAAATACGTACATACATAAATACATGCACAAATACACACATAAATACACTATTTTACACAAATACAGAACAGTTTACTCCCATGCCATTGTCGGTCGCCACTGTGCAGCACCCTGTGTTTTGAGCTAGGAAAGATAGGTAGGAAAGATCTACACCTAGCCTTCTCGGACAAGGGCGAAAAATCTCGAAGGCCCCGTGTGCAAGTTGCGCACGTTAGAGAACCCTTGGTGGTCTAAAATCGATAAGAGTAGGCTTCGGCCACCACCCTGGCAAAATTCAGAATTTCCTACCAACTGAAAAATATTGGAAGAGGCTAGCCGTACTTAATGACGGCTAGACTGGCAGTCTAGCCGTACTTAAGTACGGCTAGACTCACAGTCTAGCCGTACTTATTCTTAATATGATGGCTAGACTGACCATTTACAAAAAATAAGCCTACTGAATTGTAAATATACATTTTTAGTGTGCAGTACCTAAAGTATTTGTATTTGAGACAAAACCAGGTTCCTTAATGACAGTGCATGTATTTTAAACCTCCTGTTTTCTAATGTAAATAGGGCCTAAGATAAGTACGGCTAGACTGGCAGTCTAGCCGTACTTAAGTACGGGTAGACAGCCAGGCTAGCCGCACTTAAGGACGGCTAGACTGTCAGTCTAGCCGTATTTAATATTGATGGCTGAATTGTAAATGAAAATTTTAGTTTGCAATGCCTAAAGTATTGTATTTCAGACAAAACCAAAAGATGCCTTACTGACTTGCATGTATTTAAACCTGAATAATTACTAGATCTAGATCTAATGAGACCTGTGTACTTAACAGGCTTGAGTCGATTGGGCCAAACCTAGATCTAAGTACGGCTAGACTGGCAGTATGCCAGTTGCCCATGGATAGGAAATGACAGGCGCTGTTTGTCCTGGTCGACCAAGAAAGAAATGGGTGCACCCGAACATCTGACAGCAAATTCTTCCATTGATATCTGAATAAAAAGAGGGTACAGTGAAAAAAGGATCAGAATAATACGAAGGAGAGGCATCTAATTTCTTTTTAAAATTTCTTATTAATTTTCTCTCATGCTTTATCCTGTTGTGGTGAATGGGAAATGGGAACATATTAATAATCATAGAATCCTCAGCGTGTGTAAAAGCAAATCGACGATAATATCTGAGTTTTGCAATATTCAGAGAGTTTTAAACACGTAACTAAACACACGTACACACGCATACGCACACATACACACACACACACACACGCACACACACACACACACAAACACACACACACACACGCACACGCACACGCACACGCACACACACAAATATATACACTCATACACACATACAACGTAATATGTTGTTCACAACAAACAACCTGTGTCTGTGGTGTGGCGGTAGGCACTTCGTTGTCTCAGGTAGAAAACCCGTGTTTGATTCCAGAGTAACCAAGAACGTTTATCAAGTATTTAGTTTTTTCTGGTTAAACGTTGTATCACTCTCAGCCAGGGTTGTGTGTGTGTGTGTGTGTGTGTGTGTGTGTGTGTGTGTGTGTGTGTGTGTGTGTGTGTGTGTGTGTGTGTGTGTGTGTGTGAAAGAGAGAGAGAGAGAGAGAGAGAGAGAGAGAGAGAGAGAGAGAGAGAGAGAGAGAGAGAGAGAGAGAGAGAGATGAAAGGGTTGGCGAAGGGAATGTTGGGGCTAACGATGGGGTCGGCAGGTATAATTATGTTATTATATAATTGAGAAGAGATCATGTAACGCCTTATGTGGAATAAGAGTTTAGAATACAAATTAAATTCCTTGTATAGCGACTTTGGCCAAGTTACACGACACCGGCATGCTAAAGTAGTCCAGTTAAACGAATGTTGTTTTATTATTAATGCGCACATGCGTTTATAAAGCGCTTGTAAATAAACTTCAGATCTAATTCGTCTGTGCTTAGTTCACAACCCGACGTTCTGTCAAGTCTCTACAATAGTTTACTCTGCTTTTCATCACCCTTTTCTAAGCTGTAACGTACTTTCTTTTTCCTTTCTTGTCATTGTTATTGTCACTGAATGTCAGACAGAAGGGAGAAAATGTCCAGCGTTTTCGAGCGCAATTAAATCGGGTTTATTTATCTTAGCTCGCAAAGCTTGAAAAAAGTATACTCACGTTTGCACGCAGGACACGCCTGAGCACGAATACAAGATATACATATTCATTGTTCTCTAAAACATTCCCTTTGTGTACACTCATTCATCTCTCATTTTCTCTCGCGCCCCTCCCCTTCACTCTCTCTCTCTCTCTCTTTCTCTCTTTCTCTCTTCTCTCTCTCTCTCT